GCGCGGCACGTGTTTCTGTTTGTCGCCAAAAAGGAATACAGGCCTACCATGACATGTTGAAACGTCAATCTTTTTTGCGAGAAAAAGGGATGGAGCTATACACCTTCTATAGCTCCATCCCTCTTTTCTTTCCTCCATTTCACGTCTTGGTAGGCCTACAGGTATGTCTGTTGTGGTGGAGGATTAGAACTCCCGCTTCTCATGAATAAGGGTGTAAGCTTGAAAGCTAGCAAGTACCAATGGTCACATTGGAAAAAGGAGTCATCCTTTTTCTACGTCAAAGTTCGGCAAACGAGCAGACGGATTACCTGATGGTAAGCAATCAGTGCCGCCCATGGACACTTTAAAAGCAACGTAAGTGTTTCTTCACGCCGATTTCCTGTGATGCCGTGTCCGATCGAGCTGACCCATTCATGCAGCATAGCTCTCCCACATTCTTTCAGAGTTATATGTACTATCTAGCTTTATTTAAACGCCATTAACATACGGTAAAAGAAAACAACGTAAAATAACCACTTCGCTTTGATTAAGCACAGTGATTAATTAATATTAACTTCTGCGCGTGAAAAAGGGCTGGCTTTGTGGAGCAGTGTGTATATCTGATGATGTGATATGAGACATGATGCAGCAATAAAAACATATAAATATAAATCCCTAAACAGATAAAAACAACAGGTAATATAAATATTAAAAAAGAAACAATTATGTATAAGGCAGACAGTGAACTAAAACATATTGAAATATTATAACTGAGGTCAAACTAAATATGTTAACAACATACCGACGACCCCAGAAGAGCTGAGCTGTTTTTTTTTACTAACCGTAGTGTTGTCAAATCATATCATTTTTTTATTTGCATAATACGGGTATCAGTGGCGTGCAATTGGGGAGGCCTATGTCCAGCAGTGGACGACAACAGGCTGATGATGATGATGATGAATACGGGTATAAAAGATGTAACACATGGATATAGATGGAATGCACTGTATTTTATTGTTGCCGAAGAGATGTGCAAATATTTGTCTGAAGACACATACGTTTTTGGACTAGACTAGGCAAAGTTTCCTGGCTCCCGCCCGTTCTTGCGTAGTAGCCAGTCTAGTCAAGTGTAACCTCTTCAACGCCGGCAATTTTCTGGGACTAATGCTGTTAAATTTGTACTTTATAACGAACTTGCGAAAATTTCTACGCAGTTGCTTTTGGATAAAAAATTAAAAACCTGATAACTCTTTGGTTTTTTCATTCTTTATACTTAACATAATACTATTTAAACATAAGTCTTGTCTTTTTTTATTCGACTTTCAACTTTATTGTTATGAATGACATGTGTTTACAAATTAATATGTTTCTTTATGTAGTTAACACGACATATACTTGATAATAAGTAGCGAAGACGAACGTAACTCTATTCAAATTATAGAGTATCACTAACATTACCTGTTACGTACACGTAGAGTCTGCCCGCACAGAGAAATTAAATTAGCGCGGATTTATTCTTTCGCACAGCAACGCGATGCGTCAGATTTGTATAAAACCACAGATCTTTTACAGCTCAAATTATCTGTAGTTTTTTTTAAACGTAGGACCACTAGGATTTTCTCTTGTGTTGTGGGTGCGTTTACAAATATACAAATTCACATACACATCACACCCAGACCCGGAACAACAATCTGTGGTTCACACAAAGAGTTGTACCGTGCAGGAATCGAACCCGCGACATGTGGCGCGAGAGCCAGTTGCCCAGCCACCGCGCCAACCGTGCAGTCATTTATTGCACAATTAATATCGCCTGTGCGGAATACTAAATATTTTTTCACCTGATGGCAATTTTTGTTGATACCTACTAGACACCCAGAGAAAGTGTATTATGAACCACTAGTAGTGGTTCAAAGATTAGAGGATGGAGATTATCGGGCTTCCAGTACCCTCAGTCACACGACGAAACACAACGCTGTGGTTATATCACACCTTTTGCTCTGAGGCCGACCCAATCGTGCCGAAGCATAGTTCTCCCACACTTACAAATGTGTTACAGAATTACGCGCGAATTTTTTTCTCTGTGCGGACGGATTCGTATTTTTTTCTACATCATATGTAATTTTGCACGTCATATGTGAGATTAAAATTGTAAGTTTTTATTTTACTAACTAACAAGACATTGAATAGTCTGGAAAGCCTCTTTTAAGTGAATTCCTACACTAAGAAAGGAACATACGTGTGCAAAAAACATCGATGTTGGTTTTTGCTCGTTCTTCTCCAATTGAATAAATGTTATTCAACTAGTATTTTTGTATTACAAACAGCATTATGCTGTTTTAACTTTTTTTTTAATTTAAAATAAGTAATCTGCTACTATTATAATGGTCCATCATTTGTTGGTAAATTGAGTGTTTTTGAATTGATATCGATTTTATGATAGTTTATTTATTTGAGGTTAGCTAACAACTTGTTACCCCTTTTTTTGTGAGGGGAAGGGAGTGCCAGACTCTTACTGGCTAAAAACCCCCGTTCCTTCTCCTGCTCTGGGCCGAGGTCGCGGTGCCTCATTGCGCTTACCCCGCAACTCCGCACCCTTAACAGTAGGTTACAACCATCGATCACTAATAAAGAACTTTAATTAATTTCATAGGTAAAGTTCTTTATTAGTGATCGATGGTTACAACTTATATGTGATCCTACAGTTGTGTAACAATTAATTATAGGTTCACGCCGCTTGTACAAAAATTGTGCCAATCATAATACAATATTATAATAAATCATGCTCAACATGCTCATCATCATTTAAGTGTGGGAGAGCCATGCTTCGGCACGAATGGGTCGGCTCGACCGAAGTGATACCACGGCCTCACAGAAAACCGGCGTGAAACAATTACAGCGTTGTGTTTCGCCGTGTGAGTGAGGTTACCGGAGGCCCAATCCTTCCCCTTCCCGGACCCTTCCCCAATCCCTAAATCTCCAAATCCCTAATCCCTAAAAAGTCGGCAACGCACTCGTAACTCCTCCGTTGCGGGTGTCCATGGGCGGCGTTGATTGCTTACCATCAGGTAATCCGTCTGCTCGTTTGCCGACCTATTACATAAAAAAAAAACATCAGAAAGCTAAAGATCACGATGATAAAGGGTGTTTTTGTCAGTTAAATTAGATCCATCCATATAATTTGGATATAAATGATTTATTTGTTTCGGCCACCAAGAAAATACAAGATTAAAAGGGATTAATTAAAATGTATTGTGATTGATTCAATAAACTCAGAGTCAAAGTCAAATTATTTAAACAAAAAAATATATGTTAAGAAAAATCAAAAAGTTCAACTTTGTGTGTGTCAGTCTGTCGGTCTGTCCTCTAGTGAAGATATTGGCTCGTTAGTTTCGTAGTAGTAATACTTTTTATTTCTATTCTGAATAGCTGAATTTGAATAAGGCAAGTTATTGGTTTGAACTATGTGTCACATTAGTTTATCAGGGACTTATATGGGGGTGGTGAAATAGCAGTTGTTGTCATTATGGTTTTTGTTTTTTAAGTATTATGTTGTCCTTTGATGAGACTTAATTTTGCCAAGGGTTTTGCTAGTAGTATCAGGGTCAACAATAGCCTATCTGTGATTTCTGACTAGGTATAATCTATTGCCATGCCAAATGTTATTCAGATTCTTTCAATAGTTTAAACGTGGAAGAGTTAAATCCATACATGTACATTTATAGACTTCCTTTTAAAATATTAGGATTGTCACCGATCTTGTCTTAATGAGCAATAATGAAATCAATCTATACTTCTATACTAAAATTATAAAGAGGTAAAATTTGTAAGTTAGTATGTAGGGTGTAATCTTTGGAACCGCTGATCGGGTTGCTAAAATTCTTTCACTGATAATTATCTACAATGTTCCTGATTGCTATATAGGTTATAAAACATCACGCTACGATCAAATAGAGCCGAACAGCGGGTGTAATCGAGCGAGAATTGTTGTAACAGACTATCAGCTGAAATAACGAACCAATCTTTTTATTAAATCTCTGGATCGGGCTCTGTTGTGTTTTGTGTGCTGTGTTTTGTTGCAAGTTTTAATGTAAATATTTTAGACTTGTTTTTAAACAAGCATGTTAAAGCAAATCATTTAATTGCATGCTTGGATGGAATATATGTTTGTAGTATATTTGTCATAACATCACAACACTTGGTATTACAATCAATCTCTTTTTTGTGGATGTGTCAGACTCTTATTGACTAAAATCTCCCCCGTTCCTCCTCCAGCTCTAGGCCGAGACCGCGGTAAAAAATAATCGGTATAATGGTTGAGAACCATGCGAGTTCATTCTGCAGTGGTCTGTTCAACTACTGAACTACTAAACTAAAGTAAACTGAACTACTGAAACCCATTCCGTCTCCTGTTCCGAGCCTGGGCCTGACCTTATTGCGCTTGACCAGCAAACCTGGCTAATTAGGACCACCCCTAAAGTGGTGTATAGGAAAAATAATCTCGATATTAATCTATTATATAAAAATGACTCGCAAAGTGTATTGGTAAGCGCATAACTCAATAACGTCTTTACCAAATTTGTCAATTCTTTTTTTGTAATATTAGTTATTGCCAGGAGAAGGTTCTTACAAAAGGAAAATTCAGTGGAGTGGGAAAATAGGGAGCTTTTTTGTCTTTAGTCCCGTCCGAAGCAAGGGCGAGCCGCTAGTGTACGATAAATTTCGTTCACAAATCATTATTCCTCAATAAAGACCCTACAAATACTGACTCTCCAATACGTAGGGCCTGTGACCTTAGCAGAATTAACGAAAATTTAGGATTTAGGAGTTATATATTTCTAAAATCCTTGTATCTCTTTGAGGAATGAGAAGTGAGTTTAGGATGAGCTCCCTGTGCCGGGGTTGCGGACGCTCAGAACAGGAGAAGGAACGGGGTGGGTTTTCTCTTACTGAAGACAATCCCTCCACCCTTTCCAGGATGGGAGAAATCCATATAGAGTTGTGTATAGTATGTTATTACTTACGACAGTCATGTAGGCCTCTTTCCTCAGCTGAGCTTCACAATAAACACCGAACAACAAAACCAAGCATAATCTATACAATGAATACATTTTATCTAGAGCAAAACTGACCAAATAACCACACTGATCGATATTAGTTTTTTAATCTTATACTAATTACAATGAGGTCCTATTTCAAATGGAAACGTTCTCGCGCGTCCTCGTCTAGATACTCGTAACATTGCCGGCGTTGCAGACGGTTTTATCATTCTGCGTTTTGCACGCACCCTACGTCATGCGTCAGCGTTGTCGGCGATCGTGTACTGAATACAATGGCTGTCGCGGAAAATTGTTTCAATTTTAATACTGCCTCTTTGGTCGAGTGCTCGCTAATATCGAGCAAGAGGTCACGTGTCGGTTTTCCGAAACATTCTCAGTGATAGCAGAGTCTAGAATTGTATACGGCATTAGCCACCTTTTTTGTGAGCGGAATATCATCAAATGACTTCTCCTACCCTGGGAAGGAGGGAGTGTCAGACTCTTACTGACTAAACCCCCCACCCCGTTCCTTCGCCTACTCTGCGGCCGATGTCGTGGTCCCTTATTGCGCTTACCAGCAACCCCGGCCAAATTAGACACGCCCCCTATTATTTAAAAAGTCGTTGTGACATTGTAGGAACATGTTGATTTTGTGCTATCAAGTTCACCTCTGCCTACACCTCTTGTAAGTGGCGGTATGCAAAATAATGTAATACTTATATCGATATATATCTGAATGACCATTCTTTGACATTTGGGACGGTAACATTTAGTTTCCTTGAGATGACCGCACTTAATACTGATTTTGATGAAATCGTTCGGAGCAGTTCGCTTGGCTTATCACAACTCCATTGTACAGTGGTAAAATTTGGGCTATTGCTAAGTTCCTATCATCACCATCACCAGTCTTATAAGTGCCCACTGCTAAGCAAAAGCCTCTTCGCACATGGAAAAGGTTTAAGCATTAATAATTACGCTTGCCCAAGCCGGATTTGCAATTTCAAACGTATAGTTATAAATTTTAAATCCAGGTCTCCCCAGGTCTTAATAATCATAGCATGTACATTTAACTTTGAAAACTTCACATTGGTACTGGCCAGGTTTCGATCTCTAGTGTGGGGCAACGGTTTAGGGTTTTGTCCTGTGTCGTGGGTGCGTTTACAAACAAACAATTTCACATACACATCTCACCCAGACCCAGAACAACAATTTGTGGTTCACACAACCCGTTGTTCCGTGCGGGAATCGAAAACACGAAACGTTACGCGGGTTTATATAGGAATAAAAAAGATCACTTTATTTAAAATTACATTACACAATATTAAGGTAAATATTATGTAATTGTTAGGGCTGGCAGCTATTTTTTCTCTTTTAAATAGTTTACATAGCTGTCAAGGTTAAAGCATTTATTGAATATAAACACTTTAAATTGTCAAATTTTTGCCCGCAGTACAAAATAACTAAGTGAAGCTAATTACACGTTACAAAATGTATATTCATGTTCCACTCTATTGTCTATACCATGGTCTATTAGCAGTTGACCTAGAGGCGGTTAGAAAAACAGTTTTCGAAATTATGTTCTAGCAAAAAGTTTGAATGAGGTTACCGAAGACCCAATCATCCCTCTTCCGTCAAATATCCTATCTTCAAATTCTTTACCCGAAGCGTATCCATACTTCTATACTAATATTGTAAAGTTTTTAAGTTTGTATTTAGTCTTTGAAACCGCTGGTCGGATTGACAAAATTCTTTCACTGATAGATAACTACAATGTTCTTGAGTTTTATAAGCTATAAAACATTACGCTACGATCAAATGAAGCGGAGCAGCGGGTGAAACCACGCGAAAGTAGCTAGTTTAAAAGAAGACTTAAAAATTTACTCGGGACCGCCATGCTTCGGCAGCAATTTGCCTCACAGAAAATTTTATCAGCCTTAACCAAAGCTTTTGTTGTACTTCGCCGTGTGGGTGAGGTTATAGAGGGCCCAATGCTCTTTCCTATCTCTCATACCCAAGTAGCCAATCTTCGAATTTCCAAAAAGACAGCATCGCACTTTAAGTCCTGTACCTAACAATCAGGGTATCCGTCTGCTCGTTAGCCGTCCTATCAGATGAAAACCGATAGACGGCTGAAATGTCAATTGTGAATTCGTCTCTATTTGTTTTATGTTATAAGTCGGCAAACGAGCAGACGGATTACCTGATGGCAAGCACTCAGCACCACCTATGGACCCTCGTAATACCAAAGGAGTTACTACAAGTGCGTTGCCGACCTCTTGTAGGTAATTAGGAATTTAAGAATAGGGGATTTGAGGATTGAGAATGGGGGAAAGAATTTGAAAAAAGAAAATAGAGATAGCAAAATAATTTATTTGTCATTAAACATGTCACACATAGATATCTAGAATGATTAGGGAAAAAATACAACAATAAAAAAGTTGTAAAAAAAAACAAAACACTAAATAATTAAAAATAAAAAAGTACCAAAACAACTCAAAAAAATAGAAGATAATAAGACAGCAGCATGATATGGCAAAAGGGTTGCCTTCTCAGTATAAGTTGGACTCAATGAGAACCCAACACTGGTTTTCAGTAACCACCCTTACTGTGACGTACGGACGGAAGCAACATTCAATAAACCTTAAAGTCTACCGTCATTATTTTAACCAATATTAGCTAAACAACTGGCATAAGTTTAAGTCCAATTAATGGCATTGTGTGTAGTTTTCTTTGTTAGTCAATTTAAACAAATTATGATAGCTGCACGTACATGCCGCACGCGCGATACATACGCGTTTTGACTGTTAATGTATTTCATTGTTGCTCCTACGGATTACTCGTACAAACAGTACTCGGAAATGACTATACGAGTATAACATGCCAGTTAACTGCCGTTTCATGATCTTACGCCGTTACAAAGTGAGTTAGGCTGTTCTTAGATTTTTTTTACCAAAAAGTAGGAAAGTAACGCAGACTGCAACGCAACGTGCCGCCTGATTGATTCCCGCACAGAAAAACTCTTGTGTGATTGACATTTATTTATTTCAAAGGAGTTACGAGTGCGTTGCCGGCCTTTTAGGGATAAAAGTTTCAGATATTTAAGGATTGGGAAGGGATGGGAGGACAGGGAGCGATTGGGCCTCCGATAACCTCACTCGGCGAAAAACAATGCTGTAGTTGTTTTATGCCGGTTTTCTGTGAGGTCGTGGTATCACTCCGGTCGAGCCGACACATTCGTGCCGAAGCTTGGCTCTCCCACACTTGACGGTAATATTACACATATTGTTGTGTTTTCTTTTTTATGAAAAAATTTGCAATGTGGAAGATCTTATAAATTTTCTTGCTACACAGTACCTATATCGTAAAATGGTACAACTTCCTCAGGTGGAATGTCAGCCAGCACTTTAAAGGTATGGGTGGTCCTTTGTAATTGATGACGTTGTAACAAATAAATGTTTTACTTTGAGTTTCGCATTCAATCACGTAATCTTCAAGGCTGGGTCGGTACAACTGTAATAAGTATGAAATTTTAAGTTTTGGAGAGCCATGCTTCGGCATGAATGGCTTCACTGGAAACCAGCGTCTAGCAACACTTTCGTTATGTTTCGCCGTGTGGATCAGGTTACCGGAGGCGCAATCAATCAATCAAATTTGTGGAAGTAAATATAGGTAAAGTGTAAAGAAAAAATATTAAGTTTTTAAGGTCACTAAACAACATCTAATTAAAACTGAATTAAAACTCAATTAAGAACAAGATGACCTAATAATCCAATTAATTGATCTACAAAGGTTTGCTTTGGTTTCAATAATTTGAACAGTTTTAAATTTATAAATAGAATAGAATCATTGCCAGTTTAACCAAACTATATTTTTCTTTTAATAAATTTTCGTCTTATTTTACAATCCCTACATAAATAGATTTAAAACTCTAGTCGATTTCAGCAAATAGAAAAAACGTCCCTCTTATGGACTTCATTTTTCGTTTCATTATTAAGACACCACTGACATACGGTGAAGGTAAAACATCGTGGGAAACCTAGACTTATAATTTCTAATTATAAGTTTGAAATCGCCAACCCGCATTGAGCAAGCGTGGTGATTAATACTCTAACCTTCTCCGTATGACAAGAGACCTTTGCCCAGCAGTGGGCACTCATAGGCTGATGACGATGGACCTCATATCACGGCCGCGGTTGGAAGTTCAAGCGCAGGTTCATGCTACGGCTCGGTAATGAGTCAATAGACCACCGCAGACGGGCGCAGGACAGGCCCCTATAGGGCTGATGTTCAGCCGGGACAAGCGCAATAATTCACTGCGGCCTCGGCCTAAAGCAGGAGAAGGGAACGGAAAGGTTTTTAGTCAGTAAGAGTCTGACCCTCCCTCCCAGGGCGGGAGAAATGATGTGATGATTTTCTCCTCACTAAAAAAAGTTTTAGTAACCTGTATTCTTCTTCTTCTCATAAGTTTGTCAATATTAACATCGTAATCTAATAGTAAATTTATTGAATAAAACAACTTATGTGAAGTAACACAAAAGTTCTAGTGTCAAGTCACAACGGGTTATTCATGAGCAGCGTGCGCGTCGCAGCGACGTGCACGCTAATAGCTTCAATAAAATTGTAATCCCATTTTATTACATATTTATATATCACTAGTTACTCACGCGCGGTTTCAGTCGCTGCCTGGCATTTCATTCATTCATTAGTATAGACAAAATTTTAACGTCATAATCTTCCGTATTCACTCTTTTGCATTCAAGGTGTTAAAATGTTAAACTGCATACTTGTCTATATTTAGATTATGCTGATACGAGTAAGTAAAGCCACGAATAGATTGGTCGTAAGGTCAATTAATATAGCTATGATAATTATTCTAACTACAATCTTTCTTCCTCTTACGACGTAAGGTAGGCTAATTCCCCGATTTACCCTACTTTTATATTTCGAAACTTTTGCTGCCCATAAGAATTAAAAAGCCAAAATCAGAAATTTCCAAAAGGTTGGCAACGCACACATAACTCCTCTGTTGCGGATGTCCATGGGCGGCGCTGATTTTCTTACCATCAAGTAATCCGTATACATAAAAAAAAGTATTGTCAAAACTGGACCATGCGTTTTTGAGTTATCCGCTTAACAAAACATTTTGCGATTCATTTATATTTATATCTACAAAGAATTTATCAAAATATTTTTGCATTCTAATTATAA